TGTAATGAAAGGAGAGCCTGGGCTGATACACTTTTTCTCTTTTTAGCTTCCCTTTTCTCTTGTCTACTGTACCGTTTAAGATGGAGTTCTGGTGTCTTTATTTTCTTGTGTCCCATTAGCAGAGTTGGTGCCCAGTCAGGAGATGTTTTGTTGTACAGATCAGCTGGTTTCCCTACAAATAAAATTTGATTTGAAAGTGATGTGCCATTGCACAGGGTAACAAATGTATATAAATTTCAGAATTTGTCAAAATACAAGATAGAATATTATATTTCATTTGGAACATACACAAAACAAGTACATAGTAAAGTCCAATAAAACACTGTAAGCAAACAACCGTGACCACAAAAACTTAAACGTTTCTAAAATATAGAAGTGCATGTGTGACTATTAAAATACACTTTTAAAGCACAAATCATCACTAATCAAAAACGAAATGGGCTCATGGATGAACAATGAATGATACGCGACCATATCTACAGCAACGATATTTATAAACAAACTCTGTCAAACTCATGGACGTACTCTCTTGTACGACCAGTGTCAAGTTGACAAGAAATTTTCTAAAGCTGACATTTTAATAACAGATTTCCTAATAATTATTTAGTTCGCTCTTGACATACTGTTAATGAAATGGTCAGAGCAAACTCTGACATTCCCGAGGTTTTTGTGACTGAAATCCTGGTTCAGATTACATAACCACTGTCGTCTGCGATGCCGGGATAACTCCTCACACTCGGTACCTTGGTTAGTAATTACCGAAGGAAGCCTGTAAAACGAACGATCCGTCTCCCTATCTGATCTTTTGTGACATCCATATACGTTACAGTAATTAACCATTATGTAATTTAACTCTTGAAATGTCTAAACAATTCTAAACAATACGCCTGTCAAAATATCGAATCTGTTTCACTGCGTCGTCGACATCAAAATTGCCGCGCGTATCTCCAACATGGTGGAACTTCCGGTTCATGACGTCATGTGCATACGCTCTATATACAAACTTGCGGCGCAGGAGGAATGCGACGTGCCCTCACGCCAATCTGTAATAAATTCTTCCTTAAAATCATCATCTGAGGGCAGTTGCTAAAACAATAATCCCATTCATGATATCAATGCGTGAGAAGGTGTCTGAGTGACGCACAGGTATTCGAAATGCATCGGTCATCTCAGTTGAAAGGATTTTTATCTTTCTGAGTAATGTTTGTTTTCACCATAGAAATGTATATTGGAAAGACGTTTTACAGACCCTATGGTGTAATGGTTGGCACTCTGGACTTTGAATCCAGCGATCGGAGTTCAAATCTCGGTAGGACCTTCGTTAAATTTGGTATAAAACACCGCCAAGTTAAACATCGATATATACAAACTTTCGGCGCAGGAGGAATGCGACGTGCCCTCACGCCAATCTGCAATAAATCCTTCCTTAAAATCATCATCTGAGGGCAGTTGCTAAAACAATAATACCATTCATGATATCAATTCATTAGCAGGTGTCAATGTCTGAGTGACGCACAGGTATTCGAAATGCATCGGTCATCTCAGTTGAAAGGACTTTTATCTTTCTCAGTAATGTTTGTTTTCACCATAGAAATGTATATTGGAAGGAAGTATTACAGGCCCGATGGTGTAATGGTTAGCACTCTGGACTTTGAATCCAGCGATCCGAGTTCAAATCTCGGTAGGACCTTCGTTAAATTTGATATGATACACCGCCAAGATAAACACCGATATATACAAACTTGCGGCGCAGGAGGAATGCGACGTGCCCCCACGCCAATCTGCAATAAATCCTTCCTTAAAATCATCATCTGATGGCAGTTGCTAAAACAATAATACCATTCATGATATCAATGCGTGAGAAAGTGTCAATGTCTCAGTGACGCAAAGCCATTCGAAATGCACCGGTCATCTCAGTTGAAAGGATTTTTATCTTTCTGAGTAATGTTCGTTTTCACCATAGAAATGTATAATGGAAGGAAGTATTACAGGCCCTATGGTGTAATGGTTAGCACTCTGGACTTTGAATCCAACGATCCGAGTATAAATCTCGGTAGGACCTTCGATAATTTTGATATGATACACCGCCAAGATAAACACCGATATATACAAACTTGCGGCGCAGGAGGAATGCGACGTGCCCTCACGCCAATCTGCAATAAATCCTTCCTTAAAATCATCATCTGAGGGCAGTTGCTAAAACAATAATACCATTCTTGATATCAATGCGTGAGAAGGTGTGAATGTCTGAGTGACGCACAGGTATTCGAAATGCATCGGTCATCTCAGATGAAAGGATTTTTATCTTTCTGAGTAATGTTTGTTTTCACCATCGAAATGTATATTGGAAGGAAGTATTGCAGGCCCTATGGTGTAATGGTTAGCACTCTGGACTTTAAATCCAGCGATCCGAGTTCAAATCTCGTTTATTTTGGTATGATATATCCCCGAGATAAACATCGATATATACAAACTTGCGGCACAGGAGGAATGCGACGTGCCCTCACGCCAATCTGTAATAAATCCTTCCTTAAAATCATCATCTGAGGGCAGTTGCTAAAACAATAATACCATTCATGATATCAATGCGTGAGAAGGTGTCAATGTCTGAGTGACGCAAAGCTATTCGAAATTAATCGGTCATCTCAGTTGAAAGGATTTTTATCTTTCTGAGTAATGTTTGTTGTCACCATAGAAATGTATATTGGAATGCAGTATTACAGGCCCTAACGTGTAATGGTTAGCACTCTGGACTTTAAATCCAGCGATCCGAGTTCAAATCTCGGTAGGACCTTCGTTAATTTTGATATGATACACCGCCAAGATATACAAACTTGCGGCGCAAGAGGAATGCGACGTGCCCTCACGCCAATCTGTAATAAATCCTTCCTTAAAATCATCATCTGATGGCAGTTGCTAAAACAATAATACCATTCATGATATCAATGCGTGAGAAGGTGTCAATGTCTGAGTGACGCACAGGTATTCGAAAAGCATCGGTCATCTCAGTTTAAAGGATTTTTATCTTTCTGTGTAATGTTTGTTTTCACCGTAGAAATGTATATTAGAAGGAAGTATTACAGGCCCTAACGTGTAATGGTTAGCACTCTGGACTTTGAATCCAGCTATCCGAGTTCAAATCTCGGTAGGACCTTCGTTAAATTAGGTATCACATATCGCCGAGATAAACATCGATATATACAAACTTGTGGCGCAGGAGGAATGGGACGTGCCCTCACGCCAATCTGTAATAGATCCTTCCTTAAAATCATCATCTGATGGCAGTTGCTAAAACAATAATACCATTCATGATATTAATGCGTGAGAGGGTGTTCTGAATGACGCACAGGTATTCGAAATGCATCGGTCATCTCAGTTTAAAGGATTTATATCTTCCTGAGTAATGTTTTTTTTCACCATAGAAATGTATATTAGAATGCAGTACTACAGGCCCTGTAGTGTAATGGTTAGCACTCTGGACTTTAAATCCAGCGATCTGAGTTCGAATCTCGGTAGGACTTTCGTTTGTTTTGGTATGATATATCGCCGAGATAAACATCGATATATACAAACTTGCGGCGCAGGAGGAATGCGACGTGCCCTCGCGCCAATATGTAATAAACCCTTCCTTAAAATCATCATCTGAGGGCAGTTGCTAAAACAATAATACCATTCATGATATC